CTAAAAAATCTTCTTCTCAAGAACTACTTGGCAGATTATCACCAAACTTGCACAAAAGGATGAAGATATGTTGTAAATTAAAATTTGCACGGGGATTTACCCTGGGGCAAAGGGCGTGGTCTCAAGGTCACTTCAAAGTTGACCAAAAATTACATTTTATTAAAATGTTGATATTTTGCTTACTATAAGGACTAGGATCATCAAATCTTGTCAGTTGATGCATCTAAGGACTTCAAATCATGTTGACTCAAAAGTAGGTCACGATGACCTACTTTTCAAATTTTGCGGCCATTCTTTTTCAAAATGATTTAGAGGCATATTTTGAACAATTCAAGGCCTATGATCATCAAACTTTGTCAGTTAATGTATCTTGGGTCCTTGAAGTACGTCAACTTAAAAGTAGGTCACCTTGACCTACTTTTTAAATTTTATTGCTAATCTTTTTCAAAACAATTAAGATCATTAATTCGAATACCAAGAGGTTAAGAATCATTAAATCTTGTAAGCTGATGCATCTTGGGGCCATAAAACATATTTATTAAAAAGTAGGTCACAGTGACCTACTTTCTGAACTTTGCAGGCATTCGATTTCAAAGCATTTTAGAGGCATAATTTGGACATTTTAAGGCCTATGATCATAAAACTTTGTCAGTTATGCATTTTGGGTCCTCAAAAAACATCAACTGAAAAGTAGGTCACTGTGACCTACTTTTCAATTTATATGACTATAATTAAATATTTCAGGTACTAATTGGCTTAGAATCATCAAACTTTGTCAGTTGATGCATCTTGGGTCTTTGGAGTAGGTCCACTGAAAAGGAGGTCACCGTGACCTACTTTTGAAAATTTATGGCTTTAATTAAATATTAGGTACTTTATTGGCTTAGAATCATCAAACTTTTACAGTTGATGCATATTGGGTCCTTGGAGTACCACAACTGAAAAGTAGGTCACGGTGACCTACTTTTGAAATTTTATGGCTGTATTTAATATTTTCGAGTACTATTTGGCTTAGAATCATAAAAATTTGTCAGTTGATGCATGTTGTGACCTCGGAGTAGGTTGACTGAAAAGTAGGTCACTGTGACCTACTTTTGAAAATTTATGGCTTTAATTAAATATTTCAGGTACTAATTGGCTTAGAATCATCAAACTTTGTCAGTTGATGCATCTTGGGTCCTCGGAGCACGACAACTGAAAAGTAGGTCACCGTGACCTACTTTTGAAAATTTATGGCTTTAATTAAATATTAGGTACTTTATTGGCTTAGAATCATCAAACTTTTACAGTTGATGCATATTGGGTCCTTGGAGTACCACAACTGAAAAGTAGGTTACGGTGACCTACTTTTGAAATTTTATGGCTGTATTTAATATTTTCGAGTACTATTTGGCTTAGAATCATAAAAATTTGTCAGTTGATGCATGTTGTGACCTCGGAGTAGGTTGACTGAAAAGTAGGTCACTGTGACCTACTTTTGAAAATTTATGGCTTTAATTAAATATTTTGGGTACTAATTGGCTTAGAATTATCAAACTTTGTCAGTTGATGCATCTTGGGTCCTCGGAGTACAAAAACTGAAAAGTAGGTCACCGTGACCTACTTTTGAAAATTTATGGCTTTAATTAAATATTTCAGGTACTAATTGGCACCAAACTTTGTCATTTGATGCATCTAGGGTTTTTGGAGTACAACAATGGAAAAGTAGGTCACTTTGACCTACTTATAAATTTTTATGGTTATAATTTTAAAAAAATTTTAGGTATTAATTGGCTTAGAATCATCAAACTTAGTTGATGGGTCCTCAGAGAATGACAAGTGAAAAGTAGGTCACCATGACCAACTCTCAGGTACTAATTGGCTTTGAATCATCTTGGGTTCTCAGAGTGTGAATTGGAATTTCAAGGGTATATCTAAATATACAGGATTTTTTGAGGCTTCAAATAGAAGTGATAGGTTGTACAGTTTATCAGAAGAGCGATTCAAGGCCCTTGGGCCTCTTGTTGTCTTTTGAATTTCGAGAGACAGGGTTTTGATAATTAGCATTTATACATATTTAAGAGCTCATGATACTGTGCTTTGAAACTTTATGATATTCAGTTATCACACAAACTTATTTTTAAATACAGTGTATTATGAAAATGCATTGGGATTAGTATTCCACAATGGATTGTGTATATTGACAATTGCAGTAAAGACAGACTGAAATCTCTTTTGTATCAGTGTTGGAAACATGTATTAATAAAATAATAAATAATTATTTCTAATAATTTCACAATTTAATTATTCATTTGAGGGTTGTGGAACCATATTTCTCTTTGATTGTCAGATTCTATTGCAGTCTTACACTGTCCATTGATGTTTTTTTTCTTTCCAGGCCAATGCATGAACCATAATGCTAGTAGCAAATAAATACATGTAGCTGACTGCTCTTACATTTATTTACATCTTTAATGAAGCTACAAAGCAGGTGACACACACACTAGTTAATAGATATGCAGTCACCAAAGGTCAAAGTGATATTTGATAAATTGTCAACTAAAACTGAACAGTTTTGATTTTTCAGAAATTCACAGGGCCGAAAAAGGCCCGAAGTGAACCTTGCTCTTTTCTGAGTTATTTAATTCACAATTCCTTTTCAAAACAGACAGTATAGGTAATCTCTTGTATACGGTGTACATGCATGTTAAAATTCCATCAGTAGTATCAAGGTTTTCCCTCCTAGACACCTGATCCCACATCTGGAATTCCTGAGGTCCATGTTTTATGCCCCGTTCACAGATTTGTATTTTTAGCTCACCTGAGCCGAAGGCTCAAGTGAGCTTTTCTGATCACATTTTGTCTGTAGTCCATCTGTCCGTCTGTCTGTCCGTCTGTCTGTCCGTCCGTCTGTAAACTTTTCACATTTTCAACTTCTTCTCAAGAACCACTGGACCAATTTCAACCAAACTTGCCACAAAGTATCCTTGGGTGAAGGGGATTCAAGTTTGTTCAAATGAAGGGCCATGCCCTCTTTCAAGGGGAGATAATAAAGAATTAGTGAAAAATTAAAGGCATCTTTTAAAAATCTTCTTCTCAAGAACCACAGAGCCAGGGAAGATGAAACTCATGTGGAAGCATCCTCAGGTAGTGTAGATTCAAGTTTGTTCAAATCATGACCCCCGGGGGTAGGGCGGGGCCACAATGGAGGATCAAAGTTTTACATAGAAATATATAGGAAAAATCTTTAAAAATCTTCTCCTCAAGAACAGCAAAGCCCTGATTGGTCATATTTATATGGAAGCATCCTCAGGTAGTGTAGATTCAAGTTTGTTCAAATCATGACCCCTGGGGGTAGGGCAGGGCCACAATGGAGGATCAAAGTTTTACATAGGAATATATAGGAAAAATCTTTAAAAATCTTCTTCTCAAGAACAGCAAAGCCCTGATTGGTCATATTTATATGGAAGCATCCTCATGTAGTGTAGATTCAAGTTTGTTCAAATCATGACCCCCTGGGGTAGGGCGGGGCCACAATGGAGGATCAAAGTTTTATATAGAAATATATAGGAAAAATCTTCTTCTCAAGAACAGCAAAGCCCTGATTGGTCATATTTATATGGAAGCATCCTCAGGTAGTGTTAATTCAAGTTTGTTCAAATCATGACTCCTGGGGGTAGGGCAGGGCCACAATGGAGGATCAAAGTTTTACATAGGAATATATAGGAAAAATCTTTAAAAATCTTCTTCTCAAGAACAGCAAAGCCCTGATTGGTCATATTTATCTGGAAGCATCCTCATGTAGTGTAGATTTAAATTTTTTAAAATCATGACCCCCTGGGGGTAGGGCGGGGCCACAATGGAGGATCAAAGTTTTATATAGAAATATATAGGAAAAATCTTTAAAAATCTTCTTCTCAAGAACAGCAAAGCCCTGATTGGTCATATTTATATGGAAGCATCATCAGGTAGTGTACATTCAAGTTTGTTCAAATCATGACCCCTGGGGGAAGGGTGGGGCCACAATGGAGGATCAAAGTTTTACATAGGAATATATAGGAAAAGCCTTTAAAAATCTTCTTCTCAAGAACAGCAAAGCCCTGATTGGTCATATTTATATGGAAGCATCCTCATGTAGTGTAGATTCAAATTTATTCAAATCAAGACCCCCAGGGGTAGGGAGGGGCCACAATGGAGGATCAAAGTTTTATATAGAAATATATAGGAAATATTTTAAAAATCTTCTTCTCAAGAACAGCAAAGCCCTGATTGATCATATTTATGTGGAAGTATCCTCAGGTAGTGTTAATTCAAGTTTGTTCAAATCATGACCCCCTGGGGTAGGGTGGGGCCACAATGGGGGATAGAAAATTTTACATAGGAACATATAGGAAAATATCTTCTTCTCAAGAACTGAAAATCATGTTTAGTCATTTTGATATGGAAGCATCATCAGATAGTGTAAATTCAATTTTGTTCAAATGATGACCCCCTGGGGTAGGGTGGTCCCCAATGGGGGATTAAAAATTTTTACATAAGAACATATAGAAAAAATATTTCTTCTGAAGAACTGTAAAGCTATGTTTAGTCATATTGATATGGAAGCATCCTCAGGTAGTGTAGATTCAAGTTTGTTAAAATGATGACCTCTGGGATAGGGAGGAGCCACAGTGGTAGATCAAATTTTTACAAAGGAATATATGGGAAAACTTTCAAGTTCTTCTCAAGTACAACAAAGCCATTACAAAGCCATTTGTTATACTGACATGTAAGCATCATCAGGTAGTTTAAAATTCAAGCTCAAGCCCCCCCCCCCAATAATCTTTTCAATACTGAACTGATTTGTGCTTTTGTCTAGCCAATGTGCTCAGGTGAGCGATGTGGCCCATGGGCCTCTTGTTTTTTTGTTATTTTTTAAAGGTCACTCTTTGTTGTCTTCATCTATTTCATTTTGCAGTGTTGATAGAACCGCAAAATTCCACAAGTAGCAGACTACTCCAAATTTTTTTTTATTTTTTCAGATGCTGTTTACATTTTTGGAGATTGATATGCAGCATTTTGACAAACTGGTGTGTAATGAAGACTTAACATCAGAGAAAGCTTATATCTTCTATACTAAACCATACAACATAATGATTGCAGAGGACAGAGCTGTCCTGCTCGATTTATTACTGAGGCTGTCTGTCTTTCAAAGAAGGGATCAGTAATTCAAAGCTTACCCAATGTTCATTGCTCAGCCTTGGACAAGGGTTGTTGTGGACCTGGATTCTGATGCATGTCATGTAATAATTCAGGAGAAAGTAATTCTTAAACATATATATATTGACATAAGACTAATACCAAATAAAAAAATATGTGTGGTTCCGGTTACCCAACCGTCCCTATTTTATACCCCCGACCCTAAACTTTTTTTCAGCAATTTTCATATTTTTTCCGGAATTTTCCCAGATTTCTATCAATGGCTCTGGTTTAAGCTTTAGTTTCAGCAATGACGGCCTCCTTGCAAAACATAGTGCAAGTGTTTAATAGTGTTGAATCCAAAGCAAGCTAGCATGTAGGTGTCCCCTACCAATATTGACTAGTATATTATCACACCACATCTAAATGCCACTTGCAAAGGAGTGATAAGTATTATTTAGAAAAAATAAGAAAATCATTTTGTTTTAAAAAAAAGATCCTACCTACCTACCCTAATTTTTTTGGAGGTAAAACTGGAACCACACATAATTCTTTGTTTGGCCTAAGGGTTATTTTCAAAATGCCAAGCATATGGAACGGTAAAAATAATGGCCACCATGATTATGAATACAACCAGATTCAGTGTCCAATTCCATTCTATGTGACTTTTGCAATCCATGAAGTGTAGTGACTAGCACTGGTCTATCAGTGATAAAATCATGATTTTCTTTGTTTCCAATTGCATTTTTTTTGGTCAAATTTCTTACAATCACGTCAGAGATGTCACATGATAAAAAGATGGACTTGTAATTATTAGATTATCGATAAGAATAGGTTAAGGTCCAGATACTTGAAACCTTTTGCTTACATTAATAATTTAGTGTATTTGTCCAGTTGGAGAGGTGACTACATAAAAATTTTGCTCTTCCAGTTCTTCTACAAATAACTAATGGAGGACTTGAAAAGTGAAACCTAGTTGTTCTCATATCCTAGTCAATACTAATCTTAAAATTAAAAGTTACAGAAAATGACAGTAGCAACAAATATTTATAGGTTTAACATCAAACATTTATTTGCTTTCGATTGCCTGTATATTCTAGTGTTTCATCTTTCTTACATGTACCTGATACCAAAAACTCAAACTTCGACCTATCAATCATTCAACTCAAATTTCGACCGAACAATCATTCAACTCAAATTTCGACCGATCAATCATTCAACTCGAACTTCGACCGATCAATCGTCATTCAACTCAAACTTCGACCGATCAATCATTCGAAGCTGAGGCATTGAGCGTCGTCAAAAAACGTATACTGAAAAAAAAATATCTAAGAGGAATATATCGGATATATTTGTCTAAATATTAATATACAGCTGTCTAAAGAAGAGCTTGGGTGTCTTTGATTCAGTTGGAATATTGCTTGGTTGACGTTGTACATCCTGTGATAAATGACTGGCATTTTAGTGCACCACGTGTTTGATACTGGATTCATTAAGAATTTCTTCTTTGTCAATTTAATTCTGAGCATTTCAGACGAGTTTTACAGTTTGAAAATTTATTCTTTAACTAATGTTAGATAGTCATGCAAGAGACTAATTTGTGGTTTCACAGACCCACTATACAATATACAAAACTCATTGTTTGGAGGGAAAAGTTTACTAACATTCACAATTTTTCTTCAAAATGTTTTGAAGTTCATCCAGAGATGCCATTCAACAAATTAAATAACAAGACACTTTTTTTTTTTTAAAAATATGAAATATGTCGAATTTCATTAGGAGTAGTGAATCAAGAAATGTTATTATTATTATTGAATAATTCCTTTCTTTGCTCTCTGATTGGCTGAGATCAGGCGTTGTAAAAAAAAAATACAACATTATATCCACCTGTTTGTAGCCTTCCAGGTGAAAATAAGGATTTGTTTTTTCTACATTGGACTAAAAATAGATTGAGAACTTCCAAATTGATACAGATAGTTCTGAAAAGTTATTTCACTTGCACCCTCTCAGTTGAACATAATATTCAGGCACAAAGGATCGGAAGGGGGGGGGGGGTTACCCCATCCCCAAACTTTTTCTGTATGTAAATTTTTATTATTTATTATGAAAATGTTCATTGAAAGGCTGGTCCTCCACTTTCTGATACAGTACTGTCAGATGCCTTGTTCGTAAATGGATCCTCCCCCACTTTTCCAAAATAAATTTGGGGTTTGAAGCATTCTCCTCTTTCGGGAAGTTGCAAATTTTTTTCCTTATAATGCCCCCCCCCCCTTCAAAATCGATCCAACATGCCTGACGATTTTTTTTCTACATGGAACCTAAAATAGATAAAGAAGTTCCAAGTTAATACAAGTGGTTTATTTTAACCCCGCTTTTTAATTGCATTTAGCTATGACTTCAGCAATTGTTACAAGATGGGATGGATTGCTTAACGAGTTTTTGTCATTTAATCACGGAATCGTAAAAACAAATATTGATATTTTTTTAGTCATTAAGCCTAGCCATCTTCGAAGTACATGTTTACCTCGTCCTTCGGTCTCGGTGAATATTGTACTCCTTAGGTGGCTAAGCCAGCGTATTTACCTCAAAACAGCAATAATTGTATAATATTTAACTCTTTTATCAATCATAGCATGGCAGTTTTTTTAAAAATAAAAAAAAATAGAATGACGATTCTCATTAATTGATGTGTCCCCAGTCCAGTCTTTTTACAGCTGCCTCTCCTGAAAACATCAGATAATAATATAGAGAGGGCTACATTATTGCAGCTACTGCTGTTACAGAATGGAAAGTGAATGCTGTTAGCTGCAGATCTGTAGCTCGCTGGTCTGAAAAAAATTGAGATGGACTACCAGAGAGCTACAGTGCCAGCCATTGAAAAAACTATATTTATTGCGCACAAAAAGTTGCGCTCGTTACTAGATTGTAATTATACCCCCCGCAAACGAAGTTTAGGGGGGATATATTGGAATCAGCTTGTCCATCTGTCTGTCCGTCTGTCTGTCTGTCCGTCTGTCTGTAGACGAGATTTTGTCCAGACCATTTCTTGGAAACTGTTGCAAGGATTTGTCTGAAAATTTGTATACTTATTCTTCGCCATATGAAGGTGTGCACCTGGTATTTTAATCATGATTGGATAATTTTTTTGTATTTTACAGGTGTTTTTTTTTTCATTTTTATTATGTGGTTTTGTCCGGATGTGTTCCCAGAGACTATTGCATAGATTTGTACGAAAATTTGTACACTTATTATTTACCATATGAAGATGTCCTCCTGGTATTTTCAACATTATTTGATAATTTTTGCTGCATTTTACAGGGTTTTTTTTTTCTTCTCATTTTTATTGACTTGGCCATTTCGGGTTCATGTCCAAGGTTTGAGAATCTAGAACATCTGTACAAATATGTGAACTACAGCTTAAAACTACTCATTAGAACTAAAAAAAAAAATCACAAAGTATTAAAAACAGTTTTTACATTACACAGCAGATAGTGTAAATCCATTTGTCCCTTTGGAGTAATGAGTGGAGATGCATCCAGTTAAAGATTAATTAATGAGTTCAGTGTGGGAAGCTGTTAGGGCATCTCTGATCAAGCAAGTCTTATCTATATCTCCTGGGAACTGGGCAGAAAGAAATAAAGATCTCTGTTGTCTAAGTCTCTTAATTGTAATTTATGTCTGTCAAAATACATAGTTACTGGAACCAGCCTTTTATTTTTTAAAATGAGTTTGATATAAAGGTATTAAGATCAATTTGATTTTGTATAATTAATTATGATTTTTTTTTTCAACAATCAATTTGCAGAGTGTCATGTCTCACAAAGATGACAGATAGTTGCAAACTGTTTTTTCAATGTAATTAAAACACTGTAATTACTAGCATTGATGTTTTATTAGGCTGCACATTAGTTTCATTCATTAAAAAAAAATATGAGTAATTAAATTTTCACTCTAAATGTTTAAGCAAATTGTGAACACCTCTCACATCTAGAAAACATTAGTGATTTGGTACCTTCTCTGAAAAACCCAGCGGGGGGTATTTGTCCCTTTTGGACAGTTCTAGTTTCTCCAAATTCTTACCTCAATTACAAAAAAAGGCTAGATTTCATAAAGATCATTGCTCCTCTATCAAATTCTCTCGTAGTTGACATCTACACGAAGCGCGTTCACGGTTGGACCGAATTATCTTGCAAACCAAAATGGCAGTATAAATAGGGGAAATTTTCGTTGGCCTCAATTTCAGGGCCAGGAGTGCTATTAACAACACTTATTAGGAATGTTTTGTTGTGGAAACGGTAAAATATGTTGGAAACACACGGTAAGTAATATTTTGAGCTGGCAGTTTTAAAAACATGTGGAAATAAATCGAGAAACAGCGCACTTTTTTGTGCGCAATAAATATACATTTTTTTTCAATGGGTGGCACTGTAGCTCTCCGGTCTGTCACTATTTTTTTCGGAGCTACAGTTCTGCAGCTAGGGATGTCACTGAAAGCTTTCCAACATGCATCGTCGGAAACCCTCGGCTGATTACGCCTCGATCCTCTCTCCATCATGGAGGAATCCTGAGCGAAGCGTAATCAGCCGTGGGTTTCCGACGATGTCCAATATTAGAATTATTATTATTATTATATACATGTATAACGGTAAGCAGGGTTACGGTAAATATGATGTTACTCTCCTAGATTGATACGTAGTGCATATAGAACAAGTAGCTCACATGGCTCACCTCAGAGTAGAAAATAAACATTTTTGAGTTAATTCAATTTTTCAAAAAGATTCATATGATTGAATCATATTAGCCTGACATTCAAAATCTTGCTCATCAAAGTAGAACTAAAGACCTAATTTCAGGTGAAGCACAACCATCTCTAATGATGTGATGCATTTATGTAGGAAGCCTCGATTTGGTTTTTGAAAGTGACACAATAAAAACGTCTTTTTTGACGTTATTACACCTATATTGGCGTTATAAAGCCTTTTCACTTCGCGTTATAACGCCTTTTTTCTTTTTTTTCATCCATAGATTGATCCTAATAGGCTTTCGTAAATTTCAGAGATTACTTAAAAGAAAAAAAGTACCTGATCAATTTTACATGTTTAAATTTACATAAGTTTAGTATAGGGAAAGATTTACCCATATCCATGAGTATTTTAAAATCTGGTGATATTTTAAAACCAGATTACAAGTCAATGGATAGCATTTTCTAACCCCCTCTCCCCTTTATAAAAGTGTTGTAATTGAAAGCAATTGACTATTTGACACTGATATTAAAATTTTTAATAAGTAATGAACTCTTCTTTGCATTCAAAAAAGTTTTACTGTCCAAATTGCCATTAATGTTGAATTATATGTGTGTAAAATATAGGTGGAAATCGAGAGTTAACTAGCGTGCACAGTTCTTTGAAGCCTTCCAACGGCTATTGAGACGTCCAAATAAAAAGTGAACGAACGACGATCAGGGTCGATGTCAAAAAACAATGAAGAAAGTGATTACAGTGCCTAACATTTAAGGATACCAATGCTAAAGACTAACCCCCCACCCCCCGGTTTGTATAGGCCATTACAGCTTTTACATGTAGGGTTATGGGAAATCTTAGTATAATTGAGTTTCAAGTTCTGCACAGTTGTGGAAAGAAGGTTTTGAGTTCTCATTTTCGTGTCATTTAAAGGATACTAGAGAGTAGAGAACATGGTCACGAGATTTGACACAACGAGGATATCATTTGCAAAAAAAGCAATATTTATTATTTTTGACATCTATCAATGTTTCACAGTGATATTGCTTTTTTTATATGTAGTCATCTTCATAATTAAAACCCACTCAATAATTGTATGACCCTCTCCTTTGAACTTTGGGGGATATAAATATAAGGACATTACTTACAAGAATATTAATGTAACATTTGAGAGAGAGAGAGCATATTCGAAACAATTTCAGCACCTGACGAACAAGAAACTTAGCACATTTTAAGCTCGGATTCGATGATTCGAGGGAAAATAAAAAAATTCTAGACTTTGAGTGACCTCTGCAGAGAAAGCTACCAAGAAATTTAAAGCTGATTTCGTGGAGTCGAACAAAACACCATTTGCTCAAGGTAAGTGGATATATTGTCATATTGTAATTTTTAGCTCACCTGAGCCGAAGGCTCAAGTGAGCTTTTCTGATCAAAATTTTTCCGTTGTCTGTCGTCGTCGGCGTTGTCGTCGTTGGCGTCGTCGTCGTTGTAAACTTTTCACATTTTCATCTTCTCCAGAACTACTGGGCCAATTTCAATCAAACTTGGCATTAAGTATCCTTAGGTGAAGGGGATTCAAGTTTTTCAAATGAAGGGCCATGCCCTCCTCCAAGGGGAGATAATTACGAAATAGCAAAAAATTAATGGTGTTATTGAAAAATCTTCTTCTCAAGAACCAATGGGCCAGGAAAGATGAAACTCATATGGAATTATTGTCAGGTGATGTAGATTTAAGTTTGTTCAAATCATGACCCCCAGGGGTAGGGTGGGGCCACAATGAGCGATCAAAGTTTTACATAAGAATATGTAGGAAAAATCTTCTCAAGAACAGCAAAGCCACTGTTTGTCATATTTATATGGAAGCATCCTCAGATAGTGTAGATTCAAGTTTGTTCAAATCATGACATCCAGGGGTAGGGTGGGGCCGCAATGAAAGTTTAAACTTGTAGAGAAAAAAGTCACAGTCAAAAAATTATGTAAGCATCCTTAGTTAGTGTAGATTTAATTTTGTTCAGATCATACCCCCCCCCCACTCCCTTTTAGGGGTATGTTGGGACCACTTATGCATTTAAGCTTTTCAATACCAAACTGATTTTTCCTTTCTTCCTCGCCACAGTGCTCAGGTGAGCGATGTCGCCCCTTGGCCTCTTGTTGTATTTACTATCAACCGGTAAAATCAAAAATTACAATATGACAATGTTATATTAATACGGAAGCCCGTTGAGGCCAGTTCAGAGAAAGAAATATTTTTTTATTGCGTTTAAACGCAATAAGTATTGCGTTTAAACGCAAAACATTGCGTTTAATCGCAATAATCATTACGTTTAAACGCAAAAGATTGCAATTAATCGCAATGTATATTGCGTTTAAACGCAAAACACTTTGCGTTTAAACGCAAAAGATTGCGATTAAACGCAATCTTTTGCGTTTAAACGCAATACTTTTGCGATTAAACGCAATACTTTTTGCTTTTAAACGCAATATTTTTGCGTTTAAACGCAATACTTTTTGCGATTTAACGCAATACTTTTGCGATTAAACGCAATAGTATTGCGATTAAACGCAATAATTTTTGAGTTTATACGCAATAGTATTGCGTTTAAACGCAATAATCTTTGCGATTAACCGCAATAATTTTTGCGATTAAACGCCAGGTTTTGCGTTTAAACGCAATGTTTTTGCGTTTAAACGCAATAATCTTTGTGTTTAAAGGCAATAATCTTTTGTGTAACACAAAAGGCAGTCATTTGTATCAAACCTTGCAGAGTACAATGAACCAACGCATACAAGTTTATATCTTTTATTTCTTTCTCTTTTCACTTATTAGGATATTGTGTATTGTCTAGCTTTATTGAATCAGATTTCTCCGAGCAAACGTTCTCTGAAAGGATAAATCACTAATAAGAATTTATAGAGGAGAAAAATGTCGGGTTGTAATAACAAAAGCAACCTCAGAACGAGACATGTCTTAAGCTTATTATTCTCTACATTCTTAATGAAGTTTTGGTCAGTTGCTCTGTTAAAAAAACTGTCCCCTACGTCGCGGTCACAAGTTTAACCCATGTATAAAGGGATTTTAGGAAAGGACTGATGAAATGTTGGAATTACGTACAACATGATGAAGTATTTAGACTTAAATGTACATTCAAAACCCTTCCTATGGTTGAGTACAGTAAACACAAGAACACATGTGATGAATTTATATGAGATCAAAATCAAATGAAAACAGATTGATCGATGTGTACTACATGTACTACCAAATTGACAAGTGCTATTAATACCACTGAAACATTCTCTATAAGTTGTGATATACGTAAGCAATTGATCAGAGACTTCATTAAGAGTGTTGGGTTCTAATACATATAAGACATTCAGGTTGTTAGGATACCATTGTTTTACCACAATTTTCAAAAATTAAGTTGTGCAAAAAGACACAGAACAAATCGGATCTTCTTAAAGTTGAAGTGTCGGACCCTAGTACATGTACATGTAATTATAAGCTTTGACTAATTCATGTTTGATTTTGAAACTACAGTGTCATTGTGTTTAAATGCAAAACAAATCCTTAAAATGTAGGATTATTGCGTTTAAACGCAAAGATTATTGCGTTTAATTGCAAAAATTATTGCATTAAATCGCAATACTATTGCGTGTAATCGCAAAAGTATTGCATTTAATCGCAAAAATTATTGCGTTTAAACGCAAAAATTATTGCGTTTAAACGCAAAAAGTATTGCGTTTAATCGCAAAGGTATTGCGTTTAAACGCAAAAGATTGCGTTTAATCGCAATCTTTTGCGTTTAAACGCAATATACATTGCGATTAATCGCAATGCTTATTGCGATTAATCGCAATGATTATTGCGATTAAACGCAATGTTTTGCGTTTAATCGCAATAATTATTGCGTTTAAACGCATTAAAAAATATTTCTTTCTCTGAACTGGCCTCAACGGGCTTCCGTATATTAAAGGTTAACAGTGGTTAAAAAATTAGAAGACATATAAATGAACAACATAAAAATTTCTTTGCAAAAACTTTTCAAAATCTTTAGTGACATTTTAAGACGCATAGATGATCAAGTTATGATATAATTAAAGTAAATGTCTCAAACTCTTTTTGACCTTGATTGACGTAAATCCATAAATACGGGGCTATATGTCACTTAACACCTATCCTCTCTTCACAACATCTCTGTCGGGATCATTCAGTTTATTAAAAATAAATTTTATAATTATCTATATATCCAAACAACATTTAATAGCATTTCTTCATGCGAAAATAAACAATGCAGCAAATGCATTAAAAATTTAAGTGTTACTCACTTTACCTCGATTGAACCAAAACTCTACCATTACATTAAAGAAAAGAAAGTGTTTAGCACCTATATATATCATTTACTTTATCCAATATACAAAAAACAAATTAAAGGTGTTGATAAAAAGGCAATATCAGTACCTGTCACTAAAGCTTGGATGATTTTCCCTCCATTGTGTAATTACTCTGTAACTCTCGGCCTCAATAAAAGCTCACTACACTTGCAACACAATTGTGAGATATATGAAAATTCAGATACAATGGAAATTAAAACATCTTACAAGAGATGAATACACATTCAGTTAATTAAAGTCAAGAGACATACATCTCATAGACAATATTTAAATCAAACATTTTAGTACATATGATAATGAGATTAACATCCAACATGTACAATATATAATATAATGATATTTCAGTAATTTATAAATTAGTTGAAGACACTGTTCTTGTTGCACATTCATACACATATATTTACATTTCCAATGTCTTTGTCCGAGATAAAATTACAAATTGTAAAAATACTTTATTTCTACATAAATCTACTGGTTCATCGATAGGCGCGGTAAAAAAAAAATACGTGCGGGGCGGGACAAATAGAGACAGAAGCGGGGCTATTAGCACGGGAATTTGCAGAATCAGGAGCATGTAAATATAAGGAATAACTGTCTTATTTTTTGGATTCATGACGATGATCAATCGATTGGCTTGCGTGATAATTTTATGCATAAACGCCTTCGGCGTTTATGCAAATTATCACGCAAGCCACTCGATTGATCACATTATGAATCCAAAAAATAAGACAGTTTTTCCTTAATTAAAGAATACATCGAATGTATACCCAGTCTGAGGCCTGTTCAACAGAGCGAACGTTCGCGAGCGCTTGCGAACATTTCTGTTGGAAAGATAAGGAATTTTGGCGAGCGCTCGCGAACGTTCGCTCTGTTGAACAGGCCTCAGGTATGTTTTGCACACACACAAAAAAAACAACAACAACAAACAAACAAAGATCCGAGTTTCAAACTCAATGTCTACTTGAAAAATACTTTCTCAGAGTTCGCAAGCATCCCTTTCTATTACAAAGGACACCACACATGGCACATTCAAAAATTTTCCTTGCACAACAGGAGTCCACCGTGTTAATTTCAAAATATCCCTCAGCCTTTATTTCTGCAGCAAGGTTTTCCCCTTCAGATGTGGAAACAATACAAGTACATTTTTTAACATACTCATCGTATTTGAGATCTTTGTGAGTGGCCACTAAGAATATGGGGACCTTTTTCCCGACATTCCTTTCTAATTCCGGTATCCACAGAGTACGAATTCGCTCGAATGACAGTCTGTCTATTGCACTGAAACACAGGATAAAGACATCGCTCTTTTTGTAGGATAACACCCGTAATCTTGAGTATTCTTGCTTTAAAGACAAAGATTAAATGGTACAAAGGGTATAACTCAAAATACAAACACGAGAGAGAGAGAGAGAGAGATTAGACGTTCTTATAGGTACTTAGCTTATCAGAAAGAGTAGCCCAGAAAAAGGCTGTTTTATTAATAGATCAAAATATAATTGCCATAAAACATCCTTAATTGATCGGCGTTCAATCCATGTATATTACAGAAATACACACCTGCCCAGCAGTGTCCACAAACTTCACTTTTAATTGTTTTTCTCCCACTTTCATTATTCCTGAAAAATGAAATGTGCATATACTTACAACATGACCAGAAACTTTAAACGAAGCAGAGATAAAACTGAAACAAATTCCGGAAAAAGGAAAATCTAAGATACAGTACAAGAAAACATTCAAAACTCTATCATTGTCTGTCTATTGACAGAGACTTTACCTTTGAGAGTTGAAAACACGGTCGGGGCATACATATCTATGATATTTTGACCAAGGAAAGAAGCCAACAGGCGCGATTTTCCCACCATTGCGTCTCCGACCAAGCTACAAGTTATGCGACTTCTCATCTTGCTAAACTTATCATTCAATCCAGACTTTAACATTTCTTCATAAATATTGCAATATATAATCCTGTTATGCACATGTTTGGTATTTGACTTTATTTGCACTTTATTGGTATTGTCACTAGTTTCGTGGTATGATACATGTAGTTCAATTAACACGTTTTACATAATGATGATAATTAACTCTCGGTTAAAGTTTGTAATAATGTTATATATACAAGGAGTTTCTTTTGTAAAATCTGATCGGCTGTACTGTCTCCAAATATATATATATATATATATATATATATATATATATATATATATATATATATATATATATATATATATATATATATATATATATATATATATATATAATTCCCCTGTGTTCCCCAGCAAATCATCCGGATTAATGAAGCGTCCAGATTTATGAAACATTTGTTAAAACTGGTTGGTTGTCTGTTTAACGTCCCTTCAAGATTTTTTTCACTCATATTAAGACGCCACCATTTGCCGGTGGAGGGCTGCAAATTAAAACCTGTACTCGGCACTTACGGCCTTTGAGTGCCAGCACCTACTGCGACACGGGACCTCGGTTTACGCGACACACAGTGGATTCGAACCCGCTACGTAAGGATCAACTCCTTACTCCACGACTCCAGAGCAAACGATCTAACCACTGCGCCACGCGGGCGACTTTATAATTGGTAGATATAATTGTAAATTCTGTTCCCCAGAATTTTTTTGATAGAATTCAATCCAGAGCACAAATGTGAAATGTTAAAATACTAGTGTTATATCACCATGTAATATTTTACTAACTATAGCAATGAAATCTTTGAATGAACATTTTGTATCTTTATGTATGTTTTTTTTAATTTCGTGTACACAATTTTATAGAAATCAGGTCAAAATTTTAGAATTTTAAGCGAAAAAAAGTTTTTCAATTTTAGTAACCATTTGCAACACTGACCATGAAAATAAAACTTTGTCATTCAGAAATAATTATTCGATGTAGCTACTTGTTTGTATATTGTAAAATAAGTAAAAAGAAAATTGAAGGAAAAGAATCTATAATTTTTTTCTTTTCTTTCCTTTTTACAGGAATGAGAGTTAATTCATCAAGAACGCTTATGATGAACTGGGGTGGGATACATTATCTGTCAGAATGAAAGTGCATTAATTAATATTATTTTACAATATAGTATGAGATAGCACCACAATATCTCCAAGATCTCCTAAGACCTTGGATTCCACCCCATACCCCATATTCATTAAGAAATAATGGTGATCTTACTTTTCTTATCCCTCAAGCTAGAACCACATCATATATGAATAGTTATTTCCCATCTACAATTAAATTATGGAATAATTTACCATATCATATTAGAAATCTACCAACTATAGTTTCTTTCACTAATGCCATTAAAAGGCTTATTGCAGAACTCCCAATAAGCTTTTTAATCATGGTAATCGTAGTAAAAATATTATTCACTGTCAATTAAAAATAATGCTAGTAGTTTAAATGCTGCTTTACAGAAAGATTTTATAATTAAGTGAAAGTTCCAAATGTGAAATTTGTGAAAACTTCTTTGAGTGTCCATGTTATGTCGAGCAAAGAAATATTCTTTTTAATTTATATCTAGTATAGACCTGCAACATCCTGTATCTATCCCGGCGTGGGTGATGTCGGATTTTCCTATGAAAATGAAGCCGTACACTATTTAGGCATAGTGTGCTTACGCTATATACATCCTTTGAACACTATGCAATAATAGTTGGATATTGATTATATAGAGACAAACTGACAGGAATGTTCTTGTAATTGGATTAATGCTTGTTCTCATTATAAAGAAACCGGGATCATCTCATTCTTTGAAATTAAGTTTTTTTCCCACTCCTTCATGTAACATCTAACAGGCAATTTGTTTAACATATCAAACAAACATATATATTATATACCAGTATATAGAGTTTTCGTTTCACTGCAGCGTCAAAGGTTCTTATTTCAAAATCCATTCTTTGGACAAAATTAAGAGTCAATTCATTCGAAAACAAGGTCGGAAATTTTCCCCGACCTCTAATGTGTGATTTTAAGAACATATTGATGTTCCTGATATGTAGATCCAGTGATGGTAACTGATTAAAGATTTACCTCTGACATTACAATATATATAAACGAAAACTCGTATTATGTGCTTAACATAAAGGCAGATGAATTATTGAATAACTGTGAGCTTGAGAGGAACAACAGTGGCTACAGTGCCAAAGACAAAATGGGGTCTATAAACCTGCAACCGACTCTACAACCCGGGTAATCGTAAATTGAAGACAGACACACTACAGGCTGAAAATATAGAAAAAAAGCATACCTAAATAAGAACAAGCAAGCTGATCTAAAGCTTCAGTTATGCAGATGAAATATGAAGATAACGAACAGTAATCAAGCTCAAAATTCCATTAAAACAATACAAATTTGGAGCAAACACGGACCTCTAAAAACATCAGAAGTGGGATCAGGAGCCATGGAAGAGTAAGCATCCCTGTCGACCGGTCACACCAGTCGTGTGCTCCTTGTAATGATCGGGCACACGGAAAAATCCGTACACGTTTGAAAATAATGGTCTAACAATTTGTATCAAAATCATCTTAATGATAGTTCGTATTTGCTGACAAGGTCATTGTATCGACCGTAAGAATTTGTGAAATGTTGACTCTAAACGAGACTGTTGATATTCTTGTTTCATCAACTTATTTGAAAAGCTTGCCTTTTTTAGAAATTGATCGTAGGTAGAGCATGCCCTTGAGTATCGAATCAACTGGGAGACGTAAACTCTATGTGCAGGTGACAATGGAATATTGCTATATAAATAAGGGGAGTTGACGATAGAAAAGTTGAAATTAACATGTTTAATTTATCATAACGTTTTGTTGTTGATTACCATTAACGTCATTTTTAGCAAAATATCCAAATATAAAACTGATTTGTCAGATTCTGTGGTATCTTTTCGAGTTCAAAGGGATATATCGAATCAAAGAGGGAAAGAAAATGGATACATGTAAATAGATCAAACATCGTCGATTTATCTAAATGTTGAATTGAAGGCCGCAGCAAAAGACTTTTCTTTTTATAGACGTTTTTTAAATAAATTCTGCCTTATATGAATACAAAAATAGGTCTGTTAATAACGGGGCGCAATTAGTACCAGTGGTAATTCCGACAGATTGTTGGAAGACTTGACATCCAAAAACTACATAGATATTGTCAACCAGAAACTCGAGCATCTTTTCTGAATATCAACTTCGGAGTACTTTTGTGTAAAATCAGAATGTTTTTAACAAAATAATTTTAAAAATGACCAATGATAAAGAAAGTAAATTTACGAGTTCCATTATTTATTGGAACAAGCAGCTGTCTATGGCGTCAAAAGCCTTGACTTTAATTTATCGTGGTGCATGATTGTATAAAGCGTTGAAAAGTCGTACGTTTTGATATTGATTTTGTTAAAATTTTTGAGTTTCAAATTTTCCAAAAGTTCCTTGGAGTTTTTAAGTATCCACATCTGATTTACATCACTTCTCGATTGTATTGTTGTACAGTATTCCTGAAATTTCTCCTTCACTGATGCTACTATTTTAGTAAGGAGTAAAGAAAGAGGCTTGGTAGAATATTTACTGGAGCCAGCTAGGTGTATTTGTATGGATGTTTACGCAGTTTAGGAATTAAGTATAGGATGGTAATTCCAATTCAATTTCATTGTTGGAAATTTTAAAAATGACATATGATTTTGAAGAATTTCGTCTTTAAAAAGGAAACTATGAATATAGTTTGGATAACCACCTGTAGAATTAAATCCAGGTTCCTCTAAAATACAAAATAACGAGCCTTACAAAGACAATGTTGTTACCTTATTTATCAGCTGGGACCAGTACATGTGATCGTGTAATCTATCTAATTCTTTTTCACCTCTGAATTATTGAAAACAAAAGGATAGATGGTTTTCATATTGCCTCTCAGCCGTTTAATGCGAAATTTCAACATTCATCTGATATTTCTAATCCATTCTGACAGCCAAGGTCTTCCTTTTTATGTTTGGCCCTTTTAAAATAATTGATTTAAGGTCCTCATTGTTAACTATATCAGTTTATGATCAATTAGCTTATTTTGAGCAATAATTATTATGAGAGGGAAAAAGAAAGGATTCCAGTGGCTATCTTTCAATAACCAACATCTTATATACCTGGAGAGAGGGAGCTACGTATCCGTATTTCCATCTGTCTCATTAATTGAACGCCTCACTTTTTGGCGGAAACTACGTTGCAATCAGAGTGCAAGTGAGAGGGACAGTTCTAATCAAATGAAATAGGCGTATGGAGATAACGAACACTATTCAAGCTCAAAGTCCATTCAAACAATACAAATTAGGAGCAGAGCAAACATGGACCTCTAAAACATCAGAGGTGTGATCAGGTGCCATGGAGAAGTGAGCATCTCCTGCCGACCGGTCAAACCCGCCGTGTGCTTCTTGTTATCACGGAAAATCCGTAAACAATGCATTGTGTAAATAATGACCTAACAATAAGTATGGAAACGTCAGTCATTTGACTTAATGATAGATTGTATTTGCTGACAAGGTCCCTCTCGAGATTTTTTCACTCATATAGAGACGCCACCACTTGCCGGTGGAGAGCTGCAAATTTTGACCTATACTTGGCACTCAGGGCCATTGAGCAATGAGGAATCTTTTTCATGCCAGCATCTACTGCGACACGGGACCTCGGTTTATACGGTCTCATCCGAAGGACCGGTCTCCACGTCCCACAGTGGGATTCGAATCCGAGACGTAAGGATTAACTCCTTACTCCGCGACTCTAGAGCAGACGCTCTACCACTGCGCCACGCGGGCGTCTGTTATTCTCACATGTAGTGGAGTGAGTAAAAGTGAAGATAACAAACCTTGATTAATCTATTTGTAAGTTTTACTGACTGTAGGCGTTAATGGTCAACTAACAACTAAACT